CGGCAGCGACGCCACCGACACGCCGCGTCGAGCTTCGCCAACGCGGCCCGCCATCTTGTGGAGGAACCGTTCGTGGAAGTCGACGGAGTCGCTCGCCGTCGAATAACTTACACGCGACCTATCTCAAATAAATACGCCTATAAATTACAAAAGAGAAAACAAAAAGAAAAGGATAAGTAACTTACTCGTTCTAGAAACGTGGTTAGCGTGAAACGCGGCCCGCGGGAGAAGATAAAGGCGACAGACCGTCGCCATCTTGAATCGGCCGATTCGAAGATCACGACCGTTGTCGGCGTCGGTTATTGGCGGACGAATAATATGTTTTCACGCTATCCGAAACAGCGATAGAAACGTTAGAATAATAAACTCGTGTATACTATACATATATAATCATGTATGTATAAGACAACGGACGATGACAAATGATGAGAACGATGAGAAAAACGGCGGCGATGGACGATATGAACGGGTGAGAAAAGAATGACGCCACCGTGGAACCGATATATGCGATCGACGATGCTCGACGACGGGAATTAACGGTACAGAGAGTTTTACACGTAATAATAGAGAAGTTATCGTAAGAGTTAATAGTTTATACGTTTAGGCGTTCGCGCAAAAATGATAACTGATGCCACCATCGGAGGTTCTTCAGTCTTCTTTGGTTGCTGGGTAACTCGGTGAGGTTGGTGGGTACGGTAGGGATCTGCGTTTACCGCGTTGCATATTTTCCTTTACCACTCGATTTACTCCTGTCCCTTCGCCTCTTCCCCGTCCCCCTTCCCATCCCTCCCTGCCTCCCTCCCCACACATACACACGGACACACGCACACGCACGCACTGGGATTATCATCATTCGTTTCTCCTCTGTTTCCCCCCACCTCCGTCTCCTCACCCTGTTTCAATTTTTTTTTCTCGCTCCCCGAACGGTTTATGATGCCGTGTCAGGTCATTCGAGAATAGAGAGCGGTGGTTGGCTTCCGGTCCGTTTTATCCGTTGATGAGAGCCAATTGATTAATGAACGTCTGCTGGTCGCGGGTGCCCGACGGACTCCGGAACGACTGACGGGAATAAGAATCTGTCTGCGGCCGTACTTGTTCCTTTGTTATTGTTATTATTTATCATTTATCGTCATCACGACATCCTGCGTTAGGCGGCCGTCCGTTCCACGTACCCCGCTGATCGTCGGATCACCGGTGGATACGGTGCAACCTCGATTATCCGATTCGATTGGGCACTGGACAATTTTGACTACCGCGTCGCCAGAGTTTGGGAGACGCAAGTTTTCGTGCGGATCTCAACGTTTCTACTATGACGCGTCGGTGAATTGAATTTCGTTGGATCTAGACGCGAAGAGGTTAAGACAGCGGTTGCTGTGAAAATTTCGAGTCTTTTCCGGAAGCATCAACAACCTGCTAAGCGGAGAATCGAGACTCCGGATGATTGAGATTGCGGAGAATGGCGACCTGGTTAATTAAGGCAATTAAAAGAATTTTAGAAAATTCAAGATCGACTGGATGGAGCGAATATTCACTTATCCGTGATTCAAGTGGAAAGCTTAGCTGATTAGAAAGCAAGTCGTTCATCGTTGGAAACTAGATCTCGGCCCGTAATGGTGCAGTTAAAAGAATTGGTCTGATTTCCGTGGAATTTTTATGAGCACTCAACGCGTCGATTGGACCGTAACGTGGAGTTGGCCTCCGGGATCAGCGTCGTGGAAGAGTACCACGGATTTCCAATGATCACCGGCGTGGACGCGTCATTGCTCGAATTGGACGATCACGTAATGCCAATCGAGGTTTATGGTACCTTTTGACCGGACGGCCTGGTTCGATCTTGGCCCCCATCTCTCATCGAGCCGTACGTGTACAGACTGGAGCGAGGCTCCTCGGCGTACCGCTACGATCTCTGGAAGAGTCAGAACTGGACGCGTGGATCCCGGCCACTCGTAAACTCTACGAAACAGCATCCCCGGATCATGGCAGCGATCCAAGGTCTCAAGGAACCGGGACATGTGCAGCGTTTCCCTGATTCCTAATGAACATCGAACCAAGATCGAACGTATTCTTAACTCTTACATCAGCAACTGGGTAGCCAGCTATCAATTTTTGCACCGTCCACAAAATTCCTCAAGCTCTCGTGAAAATTTGACAAAATCGTCTTCGTTCGTTTCTTCGATACCTTCGCATCGGTTTGCTCTTCGAAACCGAACGATCTACGCGAAAATATTGCGACAACGATATTCGAACGTTTCGATTGATAACGCAAGGGTTAAAAATCCCGTCTATTCCGATCCTTGGTCTCTACATCGATTCCCCGTTAATTGAAACTGTTTGGAATGCCTTCGACTCGACAAACGGAACTGTCCAGTTCTGAGTCTTCGGCTGCCGGTATCCGCCGTCTGTCCTTTAAGGACATTCGTACTCCATCGAATCGCTTCCGTAGTCCTTCGGAAAGCGGGATACTCCCGTCAGTCGGTTCACCGGAGTCTGATCATCCTCAAAGATTACGAAAACGACTATGGCGAGCCGGCCGCTGTTCCGACGGCCACGGGGCAAGGCCCAGGAGCGTTTCCGTGCACCGGGAGAGTTCGAGAGGAGGCTGGCTTGGTCTGGCCCACTCAGCTGAGCTCGCGCGGCGTCACCGAGTGCCGGGCAGGGTGATGATTGTTGCGATGATGACGCCTCGCCCGACGGCACTGCACCGTGCAGCAGTCGTCCGCGTCCCCGACGTACTCGCCGCGCTTTATCTGGTGCGCGATCGAGTTGCACAGCGCCCGCGGACATCGTTTCCTGTCGCACTTCACCTCGCCGTTCTGGAAAAAGTTCAAACGACGTGTCTGGCTTTAGAACAAGGTTGCAATTAATTGTAGAGGCGGGTCTTTCGTTGGTACGTTAGGATCGGATAGGATTGTAGATTTATCTATGTAGATAGGATTCTACAGTGTGCGCTCCGTGAATTAACAAATAATGTGGGAACGGATGTATTTGAGCGTGTGAATAGATATATCGATGAGTGATGAATGTGTGTGCAATAGATGAATGACGCGACTCTGCGTGTGAGCGCGTTTTGAATGAATGTTCGAAGCGTTCGAATATTCTAGATTATATTGATTTTCTCTATATGTTAATAATGTTCGTTTTTTTTATGAATCTAGAATATTCCAAATATATGTGAAGTTAATGCATGGTAATGAGAGAATGTTCTAGAAAGTGTGTGAGTGAGACAAGAGCATCTGAGTATATAAATAGTGTGTGCGTTGTTTGATTTAGTTAGTGTTTTATTGTGAGTTGTCAAGAAATAATCATACTGTTTCTAATAAAATTCTCTTTCTCCTACAATAATATGATGTAATATTAAATAATAGCTTAACCCTTTGCACTCAACAGTTTATTGTTTTCTGACGAAATATTAACAATATTATTTGCAACTTAGATAAAGCGTCGTGCATAAATTATGGGGCAGAATTGTTTTATTTCTGTTTCATGTGTTAATACCTTATTCAACATTTCATATTCAACCTTTCATTTTATAATTTTGTTGCATTCTGACTACCGTAATACTAAATCATTAATAATTATTTTCAATATCATTTGCCTTTGTTATCAAAGAATGAGTATTACTATTCGAAACGCTAGAAATTCTCGTATTAAACACTTCTAGCGAGAAACTTCCGAGTGAAACGGGTTAATAATAATAAAATTTCCGTAGCATCAAATTAAGCATCGCAAAGGTGATCGCCTTGGAATATAGAAAATATCCCGAGCAAAGATTATCCAGTTCGAAATAGTAGGTTTCGATTTCAGGCTACCGAAGCGTCGGAGCAACGGCCTAGGCTACGCGTTGTTCGTGATTAATGACGATCCAAAGTGAATCGAAAACCGCACTTTTTCCTACTGCAAGGCCGGCGCCCGGTGGTCGCGATCCATTTTCATCGCAATGGGTGGGACCCTTTTAATGGCCGGTCCGGGCGAGCGAGTCTGGTTAAAGGTTTTCTCCTTAAAGGTCTCGCGCAACACTCAGCCCGATTCTAACGAGCGCGAGCGCGGCGGGCAATGTCGAGAGCCGTTTCCTTTTTCCTTTTTCCCTTTTCGCCGAGGCCTTCGCATAATAATGGGGAAACCGCGAAACACAGAACGCCTGGGGACTTTCTTGCCCTCCGCCGACCGCCGATTAATCTTCCACCGGCGGAAAAGAAACGCTCCGACTCCGGCCGACCGCTCGGTTACAACCATTACTGCCTTTTTACCGTCGACGGTTATTACATATCGTCCGACTATCAACGCGCTTTTATTACCCGGAAATCTAGAATAAATCTGTAACGATCTAAACGAACGACTGAAAGGATTGTCTCGTTTTTCACTCGCCGACGATAGAGCCACCCATGATCGTCGGACAAGCGGACCCGAGGTCGGCCATTTTAACGGAGTACCATTCAACTGTTTTCGGTATATACCAAAAATCAGGAGCAAATGCCGCGTAACAAGTAACTCTATCAAACCTCAATATTCCTTGCTTCTATACACTAGATTCACGGACTTGTATTGTACAGTTTATTCTATTGTTCCCAGAAAGATTGACGTTCGACCGTTTAGATCTAGGAAATGAAACGTTTAAATCATTAGGAACCATAACCATGTAATTGAATCAATAAAAATCGACTCAAAAGTTGACCGAATAATGTTTATAAAATTCAGTATGAGTCAAATCGGCTCGTTCTGTAAATCTAATATTAATGTAAGTTCTGCGAAAGGTTCCTCACATCTCCAAACACCGAAGGAACGTTTCGGTTTACTCAAATTTAGTGGTACAAATAACTTCGACGTCGAGTTATTTACATCAAGAATGAAACGTGTTAATTAACGATCGAGAGATCACTACTCTGTTCGAGCAACTTTCGTCGGAATACCGCGAAGTTCGCCCGCCGCTGGTCAAAATCGCGCGAACTTCGAGATACCTCGCTGTCGCGATTTCAACGAGGATTTACGGTCCGGCCCGTGATCGCGACCGATCTCGAACTGGTTGGCTCTAGCGTTAACCGACCGAAGTCAACGGCTCTCGGTTGGCTTGACATCTCCGGTGACCTTGAACGACCTCTGCTCCGGGCGTGTAGAACACGTCCAGACAAGTGTCGTTGTACCGGAGCCTGGAAAAGAACACGGGAACCGAGCTCGTGAAAGACAACAACGAAGGAGAAAAGAGGAAAAAAACGAATGAAAGAAAAGGAAGAGAAGAACGAAGGTGCCCCTGAAATTTCCCGCATACGTCCATTCACAAGAAAGTCGTGTCCGCCATGCAACGACACCGCCGGAGCGACTTTTGCGAGAACCGGTTCCCGACATTGTTTAAAAGGACAGGAATACTTGTGGCGGACGGTTGTTATCACCTCTTCGCGGACGTCCCTTGATCTCGTGTCGTGTGTTGCTCGGAACGAGCGTGGTCACGCCTTTTTAAAACAGTTCGTTAGAAGCCAAGGACACGTCGGAGGACTCGAAAAATGGCGCTGGCCGTGGCGGGCCGCGAACGGTCGCGCGAAGGATTTCCGTTTGCAACTTATTTCGGTTCCTACGGCATCGATGAATGTGCTCTAACCACGTGGGATCGAATGAATTTGTTTAGAATTTGTTTCGTTGATTCGAGTTCTCTTTTTAGCAATGAGGGTATATAACCTTAATTCGAAAGCAAAATGGCGGAGTGCGCATCCTTCGATTTCCCGAAAAATAAATGTCACGAGAAATATATTGTTTGTCACTCTTAGAGGACCAGCATTCTTTTACAGAAACAGTTGTTTATCTTTTATTATGATTTACAATTATAATTCATTTAATTTATAAATGATTTACAATGTAGTTCATTGCAATATGTTCTAATAAATATTATTTATCATTTACGTAAGTGCAGTGTACAACATATGCCTAGAATTTCGAGATTTCCACAGAATTCCAAAAGAGCTCTTGTTCGTCGGTCCTCTAAAAGACACTACTGGGTCGGCCGTCGCCATTGGACGCAAAGGAACGTTACCTTTTCGACGATCATAAATTTCATAAAATCGTCACGGCACCACCAAGCGACGAGGCAGTAAAAGACGCGTTTTCTAGATCGTGTCGTCGCGCGTCTCTCCAGGCACGAGCGGAATGCGGCTGATGAGGGGTATAAGAGCGATCGCGTAAACCGGAAATTGTCGCACACGCCGGGTAAAGTACCGTGACGATCCCGCGCTACTAGTTCCCGCCGGTACGTGTCCAATGAAAGTTACTTTACGTCCACGCGACGCCAGAGGTAATCCATTATTATCGCTCGGCCTCTCTTCCGGTGCCCAGAACTCGCCTGTTAACACGTTCCACCGGAAAATTCGGTTGTACTTCACTTGCAAACTTTACGAACCTCTTCAATAAATATTCAGTTACATTCTGTAAACTTCCGGTGGCTATCATACACCCCGTTATAGCTTCGTTTCATTTTCGTCGGTTTTCTACGTCCATATAATACGAAAAGTCGTTTAGGTTTATTCATGAGCTCGAAGAAAGATGGTGATCTAGTGAATACAATAAAACCAAGTGAAACGGGATTTATTAGATGTTTCAGAAATATGGGAATTCGAACGCTTCGGTGGCTCAAAAGAAAAGAGAACTGGATCGCATCGTTTTCAAAATAACAGGTTTCATAACGGTAGTTCATTGCCGCGCGGCGAACGAGATAAGAAAGTTCTACATCGAAGTTCATAAAACTTCTCGCGCGATAAACACGAAAGAGGCACCATTAGAATTATCATTGTGATTCGTTGAATTCTCATCGGACTTTTCCCATGAGAATCGAGCGTAAATGACCCAGTTTAGGTCGCGTCCGGGCGACACAACGAAGAACTAGCGGCTCCGGACGAGAATCGGTTGCCGGAAGTTGTTCGTCAGACGATGACACGTTCGAGGTGGCCGGTCGCGCCGCGCCGCCGCGACTCGTTCTGCTTCCGCTTCTGTTACGCGCAAAATTACAAGTTGCGGCCTTTATTACCTACAACTCGCGACCAGTATCGCTGGAAGTCGTATATATTTCCACCGCGGCCGCGAAATACATTAACGTCCCCGGCGACTGTTATTTATTGCCCCGACACTTTAAATCACCTGTTTACAAAGTTGTACCGACTGTCGTAAAGTATTTTTATCTACGATCGAAACCCGTTCGTTCGTGAAATTTCTGTTTGCATTGAATCACGCGAGGAAATTTTATTAATTTTCCGAGCAATTAAGAATTCCATAGACTCCGACTCGCTCTCGCGGGCATAGGAGTTATCGAGCTGTTAGTGTGCCGAGTTTATGAGTTTGTTTTTTCCCTGTCTTCTGTGTCGACGCTCCGTTCACTCGCGCACGGATGAACATCGGCGGAAACATTCCTTCTCGCGTCTGCGCGAGTCTCTGGTAAAAATCAGGAACGTTGTTTCTTCCGATAAAATGACCGAAAGCGTTCCGGATTTTCAAAATTTCGGATAGAAACGAGCAGGAGCAAATATTCTACGTTTTAGTCGAAGCCATCTTTCAAATGAACCTAGACAATACGAGCACAGAATTCTTCAGTAGTCCTACTAAATCATCGATTTACGGACGTTTATTCTACACTTTATTGTTCCCAGAAAACTACGTGTTCTATATAAATCGCGAAAACTGAAGCTTCAAAACCAGTGTCGCAACGCGTACAGTTGCACGAATCAAACTCGATTTAAACTGTTACTAGGTACTATTTAAAAAACTCGATATCCATCAAATTTCAGTAAAGTAAGCGAATCTAGTGTTAGCACATTGACCGTCACGCAGGTCACCCACGAAGCCTCCAAATGGCTTGATAACAATTACAAGGAAAACGATGTCGAATGAAAATCTTTAGTAGCATAACCGACGAAACAATCGTACACGAACTGATTACGAGGATGATTTAGTAGTACCTAAACAGAAGCATAAACCAATTGAAATATTATTAACACGTTCGCGAACAGTACAAATTTTAATGAGCCGCAAAAATGGGAAAACTGCAAATGCCGTACTCCGAGGATCAAAGTGCACGATAATTTCGAAAGTTAAGGCTATATAGAATTAAATTCATGATAATGTGGTTTATAAATTTCAATGTTATAGTATTCATGTCATTTTGCAACGCAATGAAAATGAATGCTATAGCATTCGTGTCTGCGAACGTGTTAAATTCACGTTTATAGCTTTTATCAAGAAATGTTCAAAAGACGGTTTAGATGCTCGGCAGTTCTAGTGTTAACCCTTTGCACTAGGAAGTTTCCCACTGGAAATGTTTAACATTTTCTGACGAGGCGAAGACGATATTCCTTGAAACGAACTCGACGGAAATCACAAGTACATTGAGAAACAAAGCTAGTTTATTCCACGTATCAAGGCATTACACAAAGTTAAGCATTACATATCAAATTTTCTAGTTTTACCGCGTCAGATAAAATAGTGCCCGAGAGACCTTTCGAGTGCAAAGGACTAAAGAAGCTGATTTAGTAGTACCTAAATAGAAGCATAAACCAATTGAAATGTTATTAACCCTAATCGTACCACGATGTGACTCTCAGTCACTGACGAGAATAAAAGGAATGATTAAAGTGTTATTTTTGTTGTTTATAAGTCCCAAATTTTAAAAGCCCAAAGAAACTTTTGGAAATGCAACATGAAATAATGAGAAAATTTAAGGAAAAAGTTCAAATGTGAGTAAAGGTCACATCGTGGTTCGATTAGGGTTAAATTCACGCGTATAGCTTTCGTAAAGAAATGTTCAAAGGACGGTTTAACACTAGATTTGACGTTTATTCTACATTTTATTCTATTGTTCCTAGAAAACTACGCGTTCGTCTATATAAATCGAGAAAATCGTAGCTACAAAACTAGAGCATTGCGATGCGTATTCGTAACTGCACGAATCATAATCGACTCAAACTATTACCAAATAATGTTTAAAACGTTCAATATCCGTCAAATTGACGGGTTCCGTAAATCTAGTGTTAAATGTTCGGTAGTGTTAAAGAAGCTGATTTAGTAGTACTTAAACAAAAGCATAAGCCAATTGTAATGTCATCAACGCATTGCGTATCGGCCAATTTTCAGAAAACTGAATTATGCGGATGGCAATTTTCAGTGAGGTCAACTTATATCGCTATACATAGAAAAATTCAGATATATTGTTATGTAATATATTTTAAACAGATAATTGATTCCAATCAAATTTCATATTTTTTCAATGGTAATTAGCGAAGTATGGCTGTTATATAAAAACGCGACTTCTCATTACCAGTACGCAATACGTTAAATTCACGCATATAGCTTTCACGAAGAAATGTTCGAAACAAATTAAGTATTAAGTCCTCGGTTGTTCCAGTGTTAACCCCTTGGCGTACTATTTACTTTATTAAGCTCGTGGTGATTTTACCATCAACAATTTAGAAATGTAACAAAACTTTCCATTCTACTTCAAGCGGAAATTTCATTTGAAGACAATACACTGATAATAGCAAAACAGTTGTTCGTGGGTCATGAACAACATTGATTATCAACCCTTAACAGTCCTGTGTCGAGTCAGACTCGACATTCTATTTTATTGCAACCTCTACCTGTTTTAACAATGTTTTCTATATTTATTTGTAGTATCACAATTGTACCATTTAACCAGTTAACTGTGTTTGACGAGTATACACGTCATCGTAAAGCTTGACGCGATACTAATTATTTCAGCGTTGAATTCTTTGTTTTTTCACATAAATATGTAATTCCTCTTTGTTTCGCTTTGATCTTTCATTAAAATATACTCTACGTGCATTCGTTCTGCGTTCGACGAGTACACGCTGCATTTTTCGATTTTATTCGCAGAACCAGAGTTTTTCCCAACTAAATTCCACAGTTAACTGGTTAAAGGTAACATTTCAATGACTCTCAAATATTCTCGAATAAATAAATAGAGCGTCATATTAAGCTGCAATCGAATGAACTAACGTCGACGTGAACCTCAAAGTGAGAAACCAAGAACACCTCGGACCGCAAAGGGTTAAATTAACCCCCAAATTATCAATGTATTCAATACTTTCAATAATTTCATCAAACGAATATATTTTGTAACTTTCAAGTTATCATTAAACTTTCACGCCTGAGTGTATGAAAATTTCAGTTAACTGATTAATTTTATTCACCACTTCGAGTGCAGAATGAAATAAATCAACAAGATGCCAATATACTGATACGCGACTTCAAAGTTACACGGGTCTGCAGAGGGTTGATCTAGAAATCTTCGTCACGAGCCTCACTCGTCCTCGTACGTCGAGGGGTTAAAGGTTTCGAACTTCCTCGAACTTTCTGCCGCTACGGAAAGCGAAATGCAAAAGTGTCCGCCGGGTATAGACGGCTGGCAGCGGTTCTCACCTTGCACCTGCACTTGACGCACTTCATCTCGCCGTGCGAGTGGACCCGCGGATGCCATTCCATCCCGTTCTCGTACGGGCCGCCGAGAGGGTTCCTGCAGCCGCCGGAAGCGAGTATCTCGTCGGCGGTGCGGCGGGTCGACGGCGCGGCCTGGTCCCGCGGCAGCCGCGACGTGTCGCCGGCGACGCCCCCCGTGCTCGCGCTGCTGGGCGTCGTCGCCGGGCACTGCTTGCAGCACGCCTTCTTGCTCGGCCTGATCGCGAGCTTCTCGTCGCAGTCCAACGGCGGGCACTGCACCCGCGGACACTTCACCTCCAGCGTGATCGGCTGCGAGATAAACAGTGGGATCGTTAGTCGATTCGCGAGCGTTCCTCGGTGTCGTTTCATTCAGTCTCTATGTAGGGCAATGCCGGACGAGACCTCTGCGCGGGTCAGGTGGCCCGGTTTCAGTTCGATTGTCGGATACCTGTATTTTCAACTGTGCTCTCCAACCTGGGAGTTGAAAATTTTTAATGAAAAATTAATGCTACCCACGGTATCTACATGTAAACGAACTTCATAACGTGCAAATTCAAGTAATGTTTACTTTGGAATGAAGTTATTGTTATTTAAAACGCGTCTATGTTATTGGATCTATTGAAGGATTGGGAGGCGTGGGGAAAAATGTTTGTTAGGGAGGCGCAGTAGCACGGAGGTTGGAAACTGTAGAGGTGTACCGAGTGTTGAAGTTTATTCAACTGAGCTAAGTTAGTTTCGTGAATAGTGGCTCGTGGCTAAAATTAGTGGGGGTGCTGCTCTAGAAAATTTGTAGCCTTTGTTTTAACCCTTTGCACTCGCGAGGCGACTCACAGTCCCCATTTGGCTCGGTACAGCAGAATTACAAAGTTTCGTGTACAATATCAACCCGTTCGCTGCCTAGTCACGAATATACTCGTAGCGAGAGATTGCCAGTTTGGTAGAATCTTGGTTGTATTTGAAATGTATCGCAATATAAAGCAAAATCACACATTTTATGATAGCAGTGAATGGGTTACTACTAGATTTGTCATTGTTATAAAAGAATAAGGAATATTGTATAGAATGCCTAAAATTCTCATGGCAGTGAACGTGTTAAAGTTCATTTAAAATAGAATAGTTCTATCCCTTGATTTCTATATTATTTATATTAATGTTAGTTATAAAACATATCATTGATATTTCATTAGAAAATGAAGAATATATCTAGCAAAACAGTTTTCGAGTGCAAAAGGTTAAAATGTTTGTATCTTTTTCATGAACTGGGGGATGGCTACTGACATTAAGCTTATGGATTATATATTGTACAAGTACAAAGAAAGAATTAAAGAAACAAGGACTCATTATAAATGTTATCGATAATGTCAAGTGGAAATTGGGGGTGCCGCATTTTTTGATACAGTTTTTCCAAAAGGTTGGGCCATCCATTCCCGACTCGCCCTAAGTGAAACGTTATTTAACAGATTCGAGAGTTCAAACGAGGATCGATTGCTTACTACTCGAATTCCACGTTGCACAGAATGGTGAAATCATCGATGAGAATTTCAATTAGCATTTATCACCTATTTGCTACGTATGATTTAACGTCTAAGAATCTAACGATACCGACAGCAACCATTCCGCGTTTCCAAATCGAACGAAAACAATGACAGTCGTTCCTAAAGAAACGCCGAGATCCCGCTGCGCAGAAATTCTTCCCGCGAGCAAAGAACGCGCGCAAAAGTATGTTGGACCGCGATAGATCGATCACCGGCCGATCCGTTGAAAACGCGTTTCTAACGGGGCTGATCGATCACGTGTAATTTCAGTGACAAGCAATGGATCAAAACCGATCGGCGTTATCTCGTGCGTTTCAGGCACGACTCCAAACAATTTGCTAATATCTGTTTAGAAAGGCCTGTCACCGATCGGTTCGCCTCTCCGGGCTGAGAGCTGCCCCCCGTGACTCGGCAGAGTGCAACCGCATTCTTCTGGCGCAACGAGCGAACATTTTTGATTTTTTATTCGCCTCGGTCGCGAACGTTGCTTCGTAACGTCGCGCGGGACACCGGGGGTCGGGAAGGGGGGGAGAGGAGTTAGCGGAGAGGAATTATAATGCGTGTCGCGGGGATCGACGCCGAGAGATCATTGCGAAACTCGGCCGGACTCCGTCGCGGCGGCGGTGAACGGTATGGTAACGAGGTAAACAAAGAATCGGCCGGAACGTGACGCGCGCACGGAATCAGCGACCCGGAATTTCGCCGCGAGATTTCGAGCTGAAATTATTTAAATTCCTGGATTTCGAAACCCGCTGCCTCCGCCGGCGCAGACGGTGCTCCGAAGCACGCCGAGAATTATTGCGGCGGCCGCGGGTGAAAGCGGAGTTCGAATTCTAGACGGAGCTGGAATTCGAACGTTTGTTTCGATGGAATCGCGAGCGTCGACGGTTTGATCGATGGACGGCGGACGCAGAACGATCGTCGTGGCTCTGCCGAGCGGGGTTGAGACCGACCGTGCGCATGCGTGGCCGAGAGTGGGGGGAATGGGCGGAGCTGGCTCCTCCCAACGAGTCTTTGAAGAATATTCTATGGATGGAATTGTGATTTCTGTCGATTGTGTAGGTTTTCTTATAGGTTTCTCTTCGACCTTTGTAGAAACTTCCTTTGGTATGGAGCTTTTATGGATTTATTTATTTTTGATAAATTCTTTGGCATTCGTTTCAACTTCTTCCAATCTGGTTGTTTAACATTGCTCGCAAAGTGTGGTGTAATGGTAGCTTTCGCTTGTTTTAAATCTAATAATAGGCGAGGCAAAGTGTACAGTGGGCGTGGTTAACCCTTCGCGGACAGATATCGGCATTTCGGTAAGATGAAATGTTCGTATTTGGAAGGATAACTCGCGAACAAGTAATGTTAGTCGAACAGTAAGAGATCATTAAGCAAGTGATATATAATTTAGCTTCATACGTTGAAGGTTTTGTATGCTTCGAAGAATCTTCGTTCGCAAAGGGTTAATATTTGAAGGGGGCGGGGCAAATCTACGGTGAAAATTTCATTCGTTCGTTTCTCAAGCTTTTTAGTGGCTGAGTTGAAAGTCGCATTGAAAATGTCCGTGAACTTACGTCGCAAGTGCAAACTGCGCAGGTATCGAAACCCATAGGCGGCAAATACGGATGCCAGGATGCTCCTGCTAGATGAAACTGGCTAGCCAGAGTGCAGCCTCTCGTTACCGAGCTAACATTCTTCCCTGTCGCGTTCATGTTGATTCCTGGACCTGCGGGCAAACATGAACAATTTGTAAATGGATATTCCTTCGTAAATGCACTGTAATTAACGTTGTACGATTCGTTACTGAGCGTACGAAAGTATTCGCAGTACTACCCAATCACAGACACGATTAACCACTTGCCTTATAATATCGTGGAGAAGATTTCAAATAGAATTTAACGAAGATGAACATTATTCAATTCCTTTGGTGTAAATTATATATTATTCCCCTTGAGTTTTCTCTTATTTTCTATAAATTATTAACCCTTTGCATCCGAGAGGGGACTCTCAGTCACCATTTGATTAGACATGACAAAATTACAGTGTCACATATAATATTAAGTTTTGTAGAATTCACCAAGACATGAAATATTTCTATAAAATAGCTTTGTTCCTTAATTTACATATGTTTTCTCATCAGTTCGTTTAAAATGTTGCCTATGATTCATCGGAGAGTGTCGAATGATTCCAGTGAAAAGCTTCCGAGTCCAAAGGGTTAACAAAGTAGTCAAGTCAATCATTCCGAAAGGAATCATAGGGCAAGTTGTTAACCCTTAACCCTTTAACTCGAGAATATTTTTCTCAAGAAATATCCATTATTTCCTGATGAAATATCGATGACATTTTTCACAACTAACATAAAGAAATGCCTTGCATAAATTATGTGACAGAACTATTTCATTTCGATGTTCCACGTGTTGATACATTATAGACACTTTAATATTGAATTGGAGATTTCATCATTTTCCTGGGTCAAATTAAATGACTGAAAGGCGCCTCCCGAGTGCAAAGGGTTAAATCAGCGACCGAAACGTTTGCCCTCGGTGGATCTCAATGTTCCTCCATGAATGTTTACTTTCAAAGTACAGATCAACGTGAAGCTAAATTCGATCCTGGTTTCTAATCGAAACCGAAGCCATCTTTCGCGGCCCAATGTCAAGGGGACGGGTCCCGTTCGAACGAAACAGGCGGGAATGAACGGCGACACAGATCCGCGCCAGAATCCGCGACTCGATAGTATCTGGCGAACAATCTTCCGGGAAACCGGTGGCAAGACACGCGTTTATCTGAAATTAATTCTGCCGAGCTGCACCGGTCTGCCTCCGGCCGGGGAGCGCAGCGCCGGGCAAGGACAGGCCCCGCGACGCGAATAAATAACGCGACAAATAGAACCGGACGAACGGAACAGCGAAAGAGGACTTAGGGGGATTTAATTAGATACAGCTGAACGTGAACGCTCGCTACCGCGCGGCGCCGATACGATCTGAAGAAAATGACGGATCAGCGCGGCCGGTTCGCTTAATTCGATTCCATTCCGCGCGGGACGTTTTTCCAGGCACCGGTGGCAGCCGACCGGGTAATACGTCTCTATCATTTGAACACGTCGAACGGGAACGGTTACCGATTTGTCTGGCCGATTAGCCCCGGAACACGAGAACCGGGAACGACTCCTGGTCCAGTTGTGTCTGCGCGGTGAGTCACGCGACTGGGACAAGACGCGGTTCCCGTGTAACCAGAGGTGCAGCCGAAAAAACGATTCTTTCGTTTCACGGGGCCAACTTGTGACTTTAACCCTTTCCACTCGGAAGTCTTTCGCTGGAAATATTTATCCTCCAATGAGTTATAGAGGGCATTCTTTGATACGAACTGAATGAGAGAACACATAACCCTTCGCACTCGGAAGTTTTTCAATAGAAATATTTTAACATTTTCCGATGAGATAAAATCGATATTTCGTGAAACTAAGTCGACGAGAAATCACGCGTACATTGAGGAGCAAAGATATTTTATTTGAATATTTCTCAACCTGATGCATTATGGGAAATATAATATTAAATATCAAATTTTACAGTTTCACTGTATGCAATCGAGTGGTGAGTGAGGGTCACCTGTCGAAAAAAATTTGTCGCTAGAAATATTCAATTTATTTTTATGTGATATAGATGACATTTTTTTCAACTAACTTAACGAGGAGTCTATTCACAAAATAAGGGGAACAATGGAATTTTATTTCCACATTTCACGTATCGACAGATTACTCAAGACTTAATGTTAAATACGAAAATTTACAATTTTGATGCACCAATCGAGTGGTGACTGAGAGGCACTTTTGGAGTGCAGAGGGTTAAAGAACAAAGTTATTATTTGAATATTTCACGTATTTATGGATTACGCGAAGCTTAATATTTCGTGGAAGACTGTAGAAGTTTCTTTTTTGACTTTAGTTGTTTCATTTTTTTAATATTTTATTCAGAAGATTTATTGGGTTGAGGAAAATACAATCGAGGAAACCGTCACCGAAATAAGTTGGTAGCGAACGTGTTAACATGCTAACACTAGGTTTACGGAACGCGTCAATTTCACGCATACTGAAGTTTATAAATACTATTTGGTAAATGTTTACGTCAATTCTGACTGATGCCATAACATCAGTGTGTACCCTAATTGTCTGTGTTTAAACATCTAAGTTCAAAATCTGCATAGAACAAACATGAATTTTTCTAGGAACGGTAACACAAACTACGATAAATGTCCTTAAACCTAGTGTCATGGAATACAATGATCAAAAACGAGAAATCTTAGGCACTCGAAGTTTGCGACGTGTTTCCAGTTTTATTTTCCGTCGGCCAGAACCGCGAACGATTCTAAGTGTACACCTCCGAGCGTGTGACCCGGTTGTTACTCGAAATTTTTACCACGAGCGGAACGCGAGCGGCGCATGGTAATTCGCGATAAAGAGTCGCGTTCAATTTAAACAGGCCGCGGATAGGCGTAGCTAATTCTACGCGATTACTTTCATGCGTCGTGTCACGGGTAATCGGATTTAATATCAACGGTGGACGGACACGCGGCCGTCCGCCTTTAATTCCCCTGGCACGGTTAGGCGCTCGGGTTTGGTCTCCGGGGAGGTTTATCGAATGGGATCGTCGAAAGGGACGGATAATTAATTGTCACACTCGTGATCCTGAGTTACAAGGGTTTCTAGATAACGCTTTTACTGGCCGCGATGAAATTAATCCGAGAGCTTACGTGTCCCCTCGACCGGAATACAGCAGAGATTCAGCGAAACCTGTTACCCGACAGACTTGATTGCAACTTTGTGCCACAGAACGAGCAAGTTCGCGGTACGTCTGTCACTCTATTTTCTTTCTCATCTTTTTTCCTCTGGAACCTGTACCTATCTTACAGAATGTGTTCTAAGATGACAGGCATGCTCGTTAAAAACGGTTAACTGATCGACGAACAACTTCACTGATAAGTCCCTTGGTAGGCACGGTTCAAAGCATTGCGCCTCGTGCCCCATTCCATTTCATATTTTGCATTCCGCCACGACTACACGGACCAAGCAACATTCTCTCCGCGGCGGTGGTCAAGGAATCCATAAAAAGAGAGAATCGTATACAGTTCTCCTCTTCCCATCGGGAACCAGCTCTGTCGGCTATCCGGGCTGGGGAGCAAGGGGAGACGTCTTGGCACGTTTTCGTCACTGGCCGAGCCGCGGAACAAAGAAATTAAACGGTTAATAACAAGGACGTGCTGAAATTGAACCGCCGTAACAATCAAGCCGAGTGCCACGAGTCTTCCCTCGCCCCTCACCGCGGATAGCCGACGGAGCGGGTTCCAGATGAGAAGAGGCGGACTGTACATACCTGAACATATAGGACAACAGTGTCCAGCAGGAGCCTTCAGCTGTTTAGCCTGCGGGCAAGTGAGCGCAGGACACGGGACCGGGTCGCACTGGGCCAGTCCGCGGTAGCAATGGCACATGGAGCAAGGATCGGTGTCGGACGTCCACTGAGTGCCCTCCTCGTAGAACTTGGTCTTATGGAAACAGGCGCCGGTCTCGATGTCAGACCTGGGCGGATGAATATTGTACGCGACCACCGAGGCGACGTCGTTGTCCGCGTAATGGGGCAGGCAGCTGAGCGGAGCCCTAGCCTTGAACGGCGCCTTCAGAATCCTATCCGTCTGCTTATCGGTCACCTCGAGGAATCCGATGCCTGATTCGATCCTGTACAACTCGACGGGCGAGAGCCCGGTGACAGACCCCTCGAGGACGTACCCGGTGAACTCCTCCAGCAGTCTTCTAGCAACAGGCGCTCCTTGAGCCAGCAACGGCATAGTCTCCAGGTAAAGCCGGAAAGTTCGAGGTTCGTGGCTGGTGGGCGCAGGAGACGTCGACGGCGAAGGAGAAGGAGGGACGACCTGAGGGAAACCAGCGATCTCCAGTTCGTAGTGCAGCGAACAGTCGAGGTCCACTGCGGTCCAGATCAAGCCTACGGGTCCGGGGTGAACTGGCTCCTGCGAGAGTCTCCTCAACAGAACAGGAGCAGTGGTGTCCCTAGCGTCTGCGACAGGTCGCTGCAGGAGCCTGCCGCGCAACATGGAGCCAACATGGGAGGCCGCTACCACGGACAGTTCTCCATTGAACAACGGCTCCAGTAAGCGTGGACCCGGCCTGTCCAAGGACCCATTGGCGAGTCCGTCTACCAAAGAAGGCGTCAGATCCTCTAGCTCCGTGCGTCTCTTGCCTCCTTCGTCGACCAGAGTGACCAAAGGACTCTCCTCCTCTAAGCCGATCAGCTGGACACCGTAACGCAGCGACCCAGCGCGGTCTAGGAACGCCCAAGCGATTCCTGATGCAGCGGAAGGTGTCTCCGACTGAAGCAGCGTCTGGTACATGTCGCAGGTGGCCCGGGGGCCGACCGTGCCGGTCAATCGCAGCGCCTGGGGGTCCTTCCTGGACATTATGCTGATGGACAGCTTGCCCCGGGTCAGCAGACGCAGGTCAGCGCCGGATAACGCGCTGCGCACCTCGCCGAAGTTCAGCTCGTTTGAGGGCTTCTTCACGACGATCTCCTCGCGCAGCACCACGTAATCCTTCTCCACGTGCTCCAGCTGGACTATCAGCGGCACCTCCGACACGTCGTTGGGCAGGAACACTCCGTTGAACACCAGCGACACGTGGATCGACGGGGCTGACGCCGAGGAGGCTGAGACTATCGCCGTCGCCCCCGCGCCGGACATCAGCGACCGATCGACGCCCATCGTTGGTTCCAGCAGTGAAGAGAATTGCTCTGTAGATAGCGCGCGGTAGCGTGATAATTGTCCAGTCAAGGTGGCCAATGGCTCCCATATGAAGGACACGTGGAGACGCTCCTCGCGCAGAAGTTTCCTGTAGTCGCGCGGCACCCGCCGCCAAACGCCGCAGAGCTTGCCGGTTGCGTTCTGATACACGCCACCGAAAGGGTCTATCGTTTGCTCTTCGAGAATGCTGCCGGAAGCGTCCACGAACTGGATGCTGCGCGGTCGGGGCGTTGATGAGGACAGGTAGAACGAGTAGTAGAGGTTCTTCCGGTGGAAGGTGAACCGACCTGTCGCTAGGTAGTTGTAGGCGCTGTTGTACATGGATGTGGGGCTCGGTTCATCTCGACGTAGAGCCTGGGACGTTCTGCCGGTCACCAGGGTGCCGAAGTCTGGAATTGCGAGGAGGATCGTTAGACGAGTCGGAAGATTGATATTTCGTCGATATATAAGCATTCGGAAGTACCCTGTCCATGGTATGATATATTTTACCGAATTATGTAATGATTTTCTGATAGAATGCATGTAATTTCTTTGTTTAATGTATTCTTAACGCGTATGAGCCGAAGTTTATGGCAATGTGTGTTGCACTAACGTTAAGTTTAATAGTTCTTGAATGTGTAAAATATATTATACAAGGTGGGTACTTTCGTAGCTTGGAGTATGATAGTTACGTTTCAAGCTCCGCTCCTCTTCCTCCAAGGTCAGCTGCGCCGGAAGATCGTGCACTATGTCGGTACCTAGAACCGATACAGAAGGGAGTTATATTTATAGAAATTGAAAGAAGGATTATTACTGAAATTCGAGGTTTCGAAAATTCTGTATTTTATAGTTTGAGGAACAATATTTGTCTCGCGACGATAAAAATCGTTTCACGTTCGACGCGCAGGCTTGAAGAGAATTCGAAGGATTAATGACTTTAACCCGTTCAGGCAGGTTCGAGTGTTCAACAGCCACGGAAAAATTGCAGGCCGTGCGTAAACGCGAAAGGCGATGGACGGGTGGTGGAAGAAGCGGGTCGCCGCGACAAAAATCATTTTATGGACCGTAAATCGGGTAAAGATGGCGCGCGCGCCACCGTCCGGCGAGAAGCTTCTCGTTTAAAGTTTCGTCCTTTATCGGCCTGTCGATACGCGCGCTGCCAGGTTTTTTCGCTGAAGAAGCGGCCGTCGAACCCCCCTTCGCTAAAATAATCGAAGAAGTGGACGAGCTTCTTTCTGCATGACTCGGATAATGGAGGTCCCGCGTCCAATCCGCGACTACGCGCGTCGATCGTGAGGCCGACGAGGATTCAACATGGCGGCGTGGTCGGTTGCAAGGCGCTAGCGACGAGGATCGAGGGGAAAATAACCAGCTCGGTCGATATAAACTCTTCGCGATACCAGCGACTTTTGAATCTCGTTTATATACGCGAACTTTGATTAAAAAATCGGAATTACGCTTGAATTTTCAGAAAAAAGTGCGGAATGAGCGATCCACTTGCTAATGCAATCGATTCCGTACAGTAAGAGTAATTACGATGACATTACTTAACACTTTGCTGAGATCAAACTTTCATGTTTGTAATACTAAATTGCAAACAAATGATTCAACTACTCAAACAGCAAGAAACCAGTACATAATTTCCTTATTCTATATTATTTAGGCATTCGATGTGTGATTTGGCAGAATCTACAAAAGGTTTTCTATACTTTTGAGAATCTTCGCCCGCAAAGGGTCAAATCATGAAATAACCGATTCAATACTGAAATTCGAAAATGTTTGAAAAATGGAATTAATCACTTTGACCTGTGAACAACTCAAAAATTCAAAACGAATTTCACGGATTCTTGAATATTTTATTAACTTCATACACGAGTCCTCTACCGAGATTCTCAATATCCTCCGCAGCGAGCTTTCAGAATAAACCCTCGCGAATTTTTTCGAATTGAAATTCATGTACCTGCGTTTACCTGCGCGCATACCGTCGTAATCGGTTTCGAACACGGAAAGTTCCAATAAAACGGAACGAAAACCCTCCGCCATTGTCCTCCGGTGGACTTTTGTTTCCGAATTAATTCGGATTCCATAGGTTTATTTCTCGAACGGAACGATTTCAGATAATTTTATCCGGATAATGGTGCTGCCGTAGCGAGAAAAAGACGGGCCAGCCGAGAGACAGGGAGAGAAGAGAAAGTCGGGACGAAGGGGTGGGAGGATGCTCATTCAGCGGCGGTGCCGGTGCGCATAAGGGCCATAAAGAACGGCAGCGGAGTAGGAAAAGAGGCGGCTGGCGCCAACCACCGCTACTTTGAATGTTGCTTTTATGGCGCATACCGCACCGGTCCAGCTGCGCGGACACGTTAATTGGTATACGCGCGGTACGGGCCAATAACAGAGACTCGGAATACCCGGCCGATGCCTCTGCCTCACCTCGCTGACCCGTCGTCCCCGCCGTTTAACCCTGAATTCGCGGGACTGTGGAAGCTTTTAAAAGTTCGCTCATAACCTCGCCGGTTAAAGGGGGAATTCTAATGTGAACCTCTGAAAAAATTGGATCTCCCTTCGTTTTGCATTTTCATGGAGAATGGGGCTCCGTACGATTGGAAAATATGATACTGCAACAGTATAATACTGTGAATAGCTACGATACTATAGAATATTATAGAATACGAATAGCAAAACTGTATTTCATTGTTTAATTCGAATACAGCGAGAAGTAAAGAACATTTGATAAATACAGTGTCACGGCTGGAATAGTACGTATAGCTGTGAATTTCTTTAGAAGATTCGCTCGTCAAGATAACCGACAACGAAATTAACGTCCCCGCATTCACACGGATGATTGATTTCTCGAATTTCTAAGGCTAGAAAGTGAACGATCGCGGCACGAGTTCCCCTCGCGTCGAAGGATATCGATGAGACGTCGCGCGATGGGTACGTCCAACGGGCGCCATCTTGTCGGTCATCGTTCCTCGACACGCGAGAATAGGCTCGTTTCTCGGTCTAATATTAAACCGAAGGATGCGATGAACTTTTGTACTGGACGCGTTACGAAACATCCTTGCGCGCAAAGAAAATGAATCTAATCTTAGCGCTCTAATCGAGATAAGCTGACGCAACGATCGAGAAGATAGGCAGGCGCATTCTATTCTAATTCCGGGGTATTACAAATGATCCCGCGATATGATTTACGAGTAATCGCGTCCCGAATACGGTCGCCGATGGATTCCAGGACGCACGATGTAAGTATGTACGTAACTATAATACACGGTATGACGAATGAATTACGCGACGCTTTTGACCGGCCGATGCGCGCATCGATCGATCGGAATTGCCGTGGATCGCGAGCCATATGGTCCGTGGCGCCTCGTTTCTTTTTTATCTCGCGCTGTCGGTGCCGGGCAGGATGCCGAAAATGCTGCACTTTTCGATCAATTGCGTCATCCCCTGCGAGGAACACGCGGTCATCTATATTCGTGATCATCGGCGGAGTTCGAGGCGCCGAAATCGACCGTGGTGTTCGTCGGAAATAGAAACCCATCAGGCCCGGTCGAACCCAATAAATTTCGAAAACATCGAACGGTCTCGCGCGGAGAGCTCCTCGTTATTCGAAAATAAACTGGACGAGCACGAGCAACAATGAGATCAAAGTTCCTGTATTCACTTACAACACGCTTCGTTCGAATTTCATAGTTTTCCTCGTTTTATACGCTGGGTTGCGCAAGCGTTCGCTCTAACGATTTCCTTCTTCTCTCTCTTAATCGCGCGTTCCCGATCGTGCGAACAGAAGCCGGCAACAGGAACGCGAAAATTCTCACAGGAATTTCGCGTAAACTCGAATTCGATTTTATTTCCAGAGGAGGAAGCGAGCGCGAGGAAGCATTCCGTGCGTTAAAGATTTTTAAGAAAAAAAAAGAAGAAACGAAGAGAATCGTTTTCAGGCCGAAACACGGATCTATCGACTGTTCCCCGAACCTTTTTCTCTTCTCTCTTTTCGCGGAGGCGAGACGAGAGCCAGCTCTTTCTGCGTTCCTCGAATAACAGCGCATGCAAATCGTCCGGGCGTCGTCGCCGGGTTTTTCTGTCGAAAGAAAGGGTAGGGTATAGATTCGTGATTTTACGAGAAGTAGACGCGCGGCTAGAAAGAGCTGGCGAGGCGCGTTTAATAACGCTTCACGGCGGAATCGACACTTTACACGGTGCGTTTCACCGAAGGACGGCCGTTACTCAGGATTAAAGAGTTGTTCGCGAAAACGCGCGCCAAAATTCCCCGTCGCCCGCCTAACGAGCTACCTTTCACGCGTCCCTTCTTTTTTCTCCTGCGAGCTAATTTATTCGCGTCTTATTCGCAGCCGACGCGATACCCCCGATTAATTAATTTCCTCCGAAGCTAATTACTTTGTAAATAATCCCCGTGACGCGTTCCACTTGTCCCTGAAAAATCTTCAATCCGAAGCGCGGCGAAACCGGAAGAATTGATTCTCCGATAGCCACCGAATTCGATCGAACTTTCTTCTATAAACGTAACAATCAGTTTTCTCGATGACGTGAAAATGTTAAAAGGTCGATATAGTAATCGTTGGAAGAAGCTCTGGACCGCTTAGTTTCAGTTTTATTAGATTCGATCCATCGATTGTGACTCGCGTCGATGGAAAAGAACGTTTCTGGAAAAAGGAGGAGACGGAGAAACCGCGGGAGAACGTGAAAAAATGAAATGAAGGGTTTCCATTCTAAATTCACGCGTTCCCACGCGCGTGGCGGGAAATTAACGGCGATTCAAGCGGCTCGGTCTCGTGTCCCGTCGGCACCGTCGAGACTAACCATGAATGATCGCAATCAAGCGGACAGCGTCGGCGAAAAGGCCGCGGCAGGCTCTTTAAGCAACGATACAGCATAATTCCCGGGGACGCGGTGTGTTAACCCTTTCACGATTCAGCCCGGCCGAGAGAGAAAGAGAGAGAGAGAGAGAGAGAGACCCGGCGCGACGGAGTGCCGTATCGTTCGTCCGCCATTGATATCTTCGTGGACGTGAGAATGAGAATTTATGCTTGTTCCTTCTCTTCGTGAAATCAGCCTTAAACCGGCGGGCATCGGCGCGTACCAAGCATTGCAAACTAATTACGCGTTAGCTGGTTATTTAGTATTTATTTACCTCGGTGGATACTTATTTATAGACTGACAATATTACTAGTATTCAATAGCGAACTTTTGGGTATATGTGCATATTCATAGAATAATTTAATATAAAATGATTTCTCTATAAAATGGAGAACTTTCTGATGGAATTCACGTGGCTTTTATTTGGAATATTAACAACTAGTAATGATTACTACTTGATTAATAACTAATTTGGATATTGACGCTAGAAGGAATTTTTGGGTGTAAGGTGACACTTGAATTTCATTCGTATTGGTCTGCGAAAGGCGTACAATGGACTGTCGTTCCGTGGTACTCCCCCTGTCGACCCCTTTTACGGCGGACGGGGAGCGGCGGGAAATTCAAACGAGTCTCGTCATTAACCGTCAATTGGACGGTCCCGTTCCGCGTGCCCCGCCGCCTCGGCCGATGAGAATGTCGTTTTCGTCGTGCCAGACGATGAGAATCGATGTGACAGTCCAATCGACGGGCTAGCGGGTCATAGTTTCGTTTCGCGAGTCGGTGACATGGCGTCTTCACCTTCCATCAGCGGGGGGCAATCCGCCTGCTGAACGACAACCTACACGGTCATCCTGATGATCACGCGAAATTCCCCCTTGTC